ATAGATGAAAAAAAATAATCGTCATATTCGCATAATCGAAATAATCGAACGGCATAATAAATGGTTTTACTAAAGAAGCCGAAGACATTATTCCAGATGTGGGTTGAAGATTTGCGATGACCATGGTTTAAAATTAAAACATACTCAGAGGTACCTGCAGACCACCAGGGACGTATGGGTTAGACGGTAGTTACTTGATCCTCCATATTTTACATTGGCGGCCGCGCTCAAGTCGACGACGACGAGACGGCGGCAGGAGACCAGTCACCACAGTAAGAGTCYCTTTTACTAATATTCACATTTTTCGCGGAATAATAACGTTTATAGCGCGTTCACGAATAATAAATATTATTATAAATAAATAATATTAAATATCAAATATTATTCTTGAAATATGGGTAACCTTACCGTTCACAGCCAAAACGCAACTTTCTTTAATTTGTTCTTTTAGAAAATTACCAGATTACAAAGGTACACATACATCTAGCATTCTAGCCTTTAGGGTAGTGTTTCCCAATCTATGGGTCAACCCGTGAAAATATAATATTTTTCTTTTCTTATTAGAGAATATACAATCTATACACAAAGACATAGTAGGAATATGTGCTACAATATAATTTAGACAAACATGATGAATAGCCTATTCAGAATAGTGTGARGGAAGAAACCATCCAGTGATCGCACTTCTTTGAATATAATATGAAAATAATAAGATTATGATAACCCAATGGCCATAGATGCCACGGATTTTGTTTTGAACTAATTAAAAAAAAAGATTGCTGAAAACTGWGCGTAACAGTTTGCTTTTTGCTCTGTTGTTTCGTAAACGTTTCGGGGACGTTGTAGACATGTAACTGGAACGTTGCAGGGACGTTGTAGAGATCATGACRGAGATAGATCAGAAAACGATTTAACCAGGGGCCTATATTGTGATGATCGTCATGATCGCTGATCAATCGAGTGGCAAATGACTTCAACAACTGCCGCCGCTGTCGTAAAAATCGAAAAACAGTATAGCGACTATTACCTGCGACCCTAGTACAAACTACAAACCCACCGAAGCCATCAATGGTAGAACACGATTGCGTACGGTTTGTCCTTTTTGGCAACATAATTGGATATGTTTGTTGATGAGTTAAAAGTACCTTTAAGAAAAAAAAACTCGATTGAGTATAAAATTTTATGTAACATAGTCAAATTTACTAATTTCATCGTATATTATATAAATAAATAATAATATAATATAACACATAAAAATAATAAATAATAAATAAAACGAGGTTACCTAAATAATAAAAAGCAATTAGTTAATAAATAAAATCGTAAATTATTATTTTTTTTTTAAATTATCGTAAATACATTTTAAAAAAAAATGCTTAAATTTAAATTTCTCGACATCTATAGCCTACTTTTTTTTAAATTTTGAATTACATTTTTATGGATTTTATACTCATCATAATCCTTTATTGTATTTTGAATTCTGTTTAAGTCTTTTTTGTMATTTTCTTTACTCTCCTATTATTAACCAATTGTACAATTGAACTGGTCTTTCARTATTTGAATAACAAYAAGTGTTGGAGGATGAGCACTGTGAAATTGTCCATTATAAGTCCTATGAAATCTTTCAGATCCATTTGTGGTACTAAAAATACTTGATAATTTGATTGACAAAAATATATAATTTCATAAAATAAGACCGATTTTGATTCGAAAACAGGTAAAAATGCAAAAAAGTCTTAAAAAATACAAAAAAAAGCAAAATAAAATATTTAATTTGAATTCTCTGTATTATGAAACACATATTTAGCTTACTTTGCTATTTTTTAAGCATCTCATAAGAAATATGTAAATGCTATAAAATCTCAACCCTGGTCATTTATGGGTATATACACCGTTATGAAAATTGGCAACAACGCCTAAAACTTGGTACGCAAAATTGGTACGGAGTTAAAAATCAGGTAAAATCATACGGAATCGTGTAGCTTAAAAAGTATAGCCGATAACGAACGTACGCAATCGTGTTTTACCCTCAATTGCGTCCCTCAAAAATAGGTCATAATCACAATTTGTTCGTGTACTTTTAAAAAATTTGTAAATTATTATGTTCAGCTTTATTTGAAATGCACGTAATTTGCGGCCTAGTGCCCTATTATAAAAATTCGATTTCTGGTCGGCTGTACCATTTGAGGATAACAATAATAAATATAATYGATCGATGTAGATTATAATATTATCATAATCACTTCCCGTTATACTATTAATTAATAGCAGACTAGTATAGTAGTATAAAGTATGACAGCAGACTACATTCCAATAGCATATATATTGAATATTGTTTGAGGCCAAAACGAAAAGTTCATACAAGTATATTTTTGACCTTTTAAGATCTWTCTTGTTTCCTAACCTTTCTCCCGAGATAATAATGATAGATTATGAGATTRCCCTCAAAGATTCATTACTATCATGTTTTGGAAGTAGAGAAACAAGATCTCTGGGATGTTGGTTTCACCATAACCAAGTACACATTTACAAAATAATAATATACTTCTTATAAGGCAGGTATAATAAATATATTATAATTTAATAACAACATATTTATATAGGTAGTAATGTAGTATATAATGTATATAAAGTATAACTGTTTAAGTGCTTTTTAAAATATTAGGTGATGCATTGTGGATTATATTTTTAAATTATCTTTAAAAAAATGTCCTATTCAACACGTTTACTTTTAATTTAGAACAGTTTAAAATTGTTTAAAGGATAATTTTTTTAAGAATTTTGATATATTGCAGACATCAAAATTTTAATGAGTAGTTTTTGAATTATTTAACTTTGTGTTTTAAGGATAAAAGGTCCATGGTTTAGGTTTAAAAAATATTTGGTCTATAGTGAATTTGAAAAAATTAGTCATCAATATTAATAATCTATCAACATCATTACATAAATAATTTATAAAAACGACCTAAGTATCATAAATACTAGGTACAATAGTACGTGTATTTTATCCGTTTGTAAAACGATTTTTAAGGACAATTATTCTTAGTATAAACAATTTAATAATTAAGAAACTACTCATTCGAATTTTGAATCAAGTACATCAAAATTTAAAAAAAAAACATTATCTACTAAATAATTTATAGTAAAAAGAGGACTCCTCATTTGAAAAATAGAAGTTTGTATCGCCACAGGATACTCCTTAAGTAGTACAAAAATAATACATGATCTTTGAGTATATTTGAAAATTTGAAAAAATTATAATTTGAATAAATTTATTATTAAAGGAAAAAATGTGAATGAGCATGCTTGGTGAATTACCCTGTATAACTAGTAAGAATAAGAAAAATAAGAAAATTTGATAAAATCAAAAAAAGTCAAATAAAAATTTGGTTTGTCAAAATTATTTATAGATATCTTATTATATAAAAAACGACAGAGAAAATGTTTTCAATACTATATGTACTATCAYTAAAATCTTCATATAATTAAGTTTAACTGGGTTTGAATTTTTTCTCGTCTGTTGTAGTACTCCTAGTTGAATTTGGACAAGCTTTGTTTTATCAGCTACTATAGAACCTTATTTTACCTACAATGGTCCAAGTTTCTTAATGTTATTTTCCTATTAATTTAATTTATCTATGATTCCATCTTTCGTTTGAATTGTTTGTACATTCTACATCATTCAAAGTTAATTTGTCCATTTTCCATAAATTATATGGAAAAGTAGGTAGGTAAATATTGATTTAATTAAATTCAAATGGCTTATGGTTTAATTATTCTATATATATATATAATTGCCTAGAAAAATTCCTACTTTAATATTATTCACTCTTTTATTTCAAAAGATCAATTGTTTTTCTATTCCATTAACAAACTGATTAATCATCACACAGGCAATAAAACAATATCTAATTACTACTGAACTATTATAATATCTTACAAAAGATACTATTACTGTTAAGGCAATAGAAATCATATGCACCTACAAAATAAGTCATAAAAACTACCATATAAATGAAAATGTATCAGACAAATAAATTATGAGTTTTAGTAAGAAATCTAGGATAATTTTCATCCATAGTATAATTTATTATATATGATGACGTGCATATAAAACTCAAAAAAGGAATAATATTGAAATTTGATCATAAAAACACATATTATTCTACCTGTCAAACCGTTTAACTAATGTTTAATTATTGCTTATTTCGTATTAATAAATGTGATATATTTTAGATTAGGTTAATTACGAAAAAAATGGAAGAAAATTAAGTGAAAAAGGAAATAATACTTGTTCACGGTAATCTAATTCTATGGTTATGAGAATAATAACCTATCTCTATCTAAAAGTAGAATACCAATAGTAATAATAAGAAGGGGAAAATTTTTTTGCATTTCACAAAGCACAATATTTCAGTATGCGGAAGATTTACAAAACCGGACAGAAACAGGTCACTGACTAGTATAATCTACTTAGAAAACGAATATGCATCCTGCTGCTTGGCCCAACATAACACAAGTCAGTTGTCTCAAACATACATGCATACATTTAGTTCTTCAAACATTTTTTTTTAATATAAATAAATAAATGTTGTCTGTATCTATTATGTTTACTTTAGATTAAGTATTAATATGAGTAAACAAAAAAGGTGTTTTGTTCTCAAACGGCTCGAACCTTTGACATATAAATTTATGATATGTTGGTAATTTCAGTTTGAGATAACTGACCTAGTTAAAAAATCAAAGAGAATGTGATATCAATAGATTAAATTTCAATTAAATTAAATTAATAAATAATAAAATAATATATAAGAAAAAATGGATATTATCATATTAATATTTTATTAAGTTTAACATCTTAAGAATTAATTTCACTTTATGTTTTTATGCTGTATAGGAAGAACTTATACATTAGAAAAATATTAAAAGTTTATATATCCTAGAATTGTTTTACTTATATAATATTAATAATAAAAAAATATATATTAAGATAAAAATAATTAGGAGGCTTCAGTCGTAGAGGTAGGACTTGAAGGAGGAGATGGACTGTCAATTTCAATTACAGCTACTTGATCAGAACTAGTTACAGCTTGTTGCAACTCTTCTTGATCTTCTGGATTAACTACAACAATAATTGGTTGTATAGCATCAGCGGCTTGGGCCTCATTTTCCTGTTTATCTTTTTCTTCTGGTTGTTCTTCATCGCCACTTAATGTTAAATCAACTAAATTAAAGTTTTCGGTTTCTTGGCGTTTAGCAATTTCAGGGTTAAGTTCTGCTTTCGGATTATCGGATATTTCATTGTCACTATCTAAATCCACGGTATCAATATGTTTTAATTTGTTATCACGAGTACTAGTTGAAGTTTCTGCCTCTTTATTCTCTTCAAAAATTTTCCATGTACCATCAGCCAAAATTTCAATTTCCGTATTGCAGTCCTGAAGTATTGGACTTGAGACGACTTCCAAAAAATAATTATCTATTTGTATGTCATCGTACAAACAAGGTGCATTACATGTTGGGCACATCCATGTTGGCTTTTTTTCATTCATTAAAATAAATGTACTAGCATCAAAACATTGAAAATGATCACAATGGATAGATTTTGCAGGTAACTTCATTCTCGCTTTACCCAATGGACACACCAAAGAAAATCGATAAGATGTAGTGGCAAAATCTGGATCAATATCTGTTAACTTTTTAATTATATAGTTTTTGGTCTCTTCTGAACTTCTACCTCCTTTATCTTGAAGTTTTTGTACCAATATTTCTGGAGTTAATTTTTTCACAAGATTCATACACACAACATAGTTTTTTCCATCAGGAGTCCAATTTATATAAATCATGTTGGGGACAATTGGAGCAAGTTTCATAATTTGTGTGCAATCGATAGGACTTGAAATTCGCCTAGCTGAAATTCCTGGACGAGTATTAGGAGCAGTAGGTGGCAATGTACATGTTCTTAAACCAACTCGAATGTGAAGTCCAAGAGGCAGAAAATCAGTTACTTCCTTATTTATAGGTTCTGGTAACTGACTAAATCGAATCTGGAACTGATAAATATATTCATTTTTTCCTGGTGAAATATCACGATTCATGGTAACATAATTGACGTTTTCAAGAGATATAAAACATTTGAATAATGTTTCTTTCGCACCTGAAATCAAATAGATGTTTATTAAAATAGATGTTTATTGCTGAAATGTCAGGAGTCACATATTTTATAAAATTAAGATATTAGCAAAAATTTAAACTATTCATGTATTTCTATGCGTTGAGTGTAAAAACATTTTTAGATATACTTTTTTTATCTATAAGATTACAACCCAAATATCTGGTTGAGAGTGATAATGTCTTTAGGTAATGACTTGTGTTGTTTTTACACTTAACAGTATCTTCTGATCTGTATATTCATATTTGGTTTGATTTTTAAGACATAATTTGAAGGTTAGGTATAGGTAAATACCTATTGTATATTATTAACAAATCAATCAATTGGATTCAAAAAATAATGTAATATAATCTGAATGTAGTATAGATCATTAGGACATTACATATATTATTATGCAACCAACAAAATTATTTCATAGACATTTGAATTTACAAATAATTTAGTTGTTTGTTACACAACAATACTTCAAGTAAATTATGTAAGTGATTTAATTTAATTTCGACAATGAAGAATAGTACATCACTTCATAAGAGATTATTAGAAATGAACCAGATAATGTAAGAAATGTAATTAAAACTGCTAGAGTAAAGAATATACCAATTAATAATTATATCTTACATAGAGTTCCTTCTAAAATAAATAATCAATTAATTTCAGAATGAAATTTTGAATTGGTATACTAAAGAAAAATAAAATATGAAAAAATTGTAATTTAATACTGTAATACTATTAAAATATAACAATTTACTAGATGTTTATGGTGTAATAATATGAACCTTTAATCCTTAATTAAGTTATTTTCAATTTGTTAATACAATTTTTTTTTTGCCATATTTTTATTGATTGGAGAAATATCATGAGTCATAAAGCTTTGAAAGTTAATAATAAGCACAAATCATTCTTTTTACACAGAAATTATATATAATTAGAATATATGTTTTGATAAGTATTCATTCTTAAATTAATTTTGTTTTCAAAATTATTTATATTATACAGTTTTTATCAACTATTCAAGTTTAAAATAATTGATTCATGATATTTTTGCAATAATCAATTCAAATATAATTTACTTAAAAATATAAATAATATACAGTGAAAACTCTCTATAAAGAATCTGAAGGGACCATGTGATTTCTTTTGTTATTGAGAGTTTTCGTAATAGAGAGTAATTAATAGGTTTTAAATCAAACCAACCATTATAAGTTAATTTAATGTTATTTACGTAATATAGAGTTTTTCGTTATAAAGAGTTTTCACTGTACTAATAATTATTATTATAATATAACAATATGAATAATATACCTCTAGGAAAGCTTTGTAATGTACATCTGTCAGAACCAACAAGAATAGTTGGCTTAATGATTGCATCAATTAGCTCATAAAATGGTAACTTTTTGAACTTGATTTGAGCTACAATTTCAGGAGAAGGGAAGTAAGGATTGTTTCCCCCTGACGATCCTTTCATATTATTATACCCTGATCCATCTTGTAAGCCAGCAATCATTTGTTGATTTGAGGATAAATGTGAAGACACTGTAGAACGAGGTCCAGAAGACTGATAATTGCCAGATACATATTGAATGTTATTGTTAGCCATGTTATTTGCTCCAATGGGATTACCATAAATGCTTCTTTGATGTTGAGGTATAAGCCGTGGTAATCCAGGCCGGGTCGCATACAGTGTCTGTTGAGGATATTGTGGTGGTTGGTACATTCTTTGTTGTGGATTCTGTATCTGTCTCATGTTCATAACTGGCCTTTGCTGTATTGGTACTAAGCCACGAATCACAATATTATTATTTTGAGGCAAATCTGATTGCATGGAACGATGAATTTCATATATCTTTGCTATATATGCTGAACGGTTAAAGCCGGGTTGTCTAGTTCTTAACAATTCAAGTGCTCGATCTATTAATTCAGATTTGCATCCTGCTCTATTTTGACCGTAGGTTCCCAATAGTGCTTGCAAATCGTTGGTCCGGAAACTAGCTAGCATATTTCTATAACCTTCATCATGGTTGGCCATTATAGCCACTAAAAAAAAAATAAAAATATATAATAGTAATACAATAAATACTTTTTATTGAGTAAATAAAATATATAGGTAGTTTTAATAATCACATATTAAAAATAAACATATATTATCATCTTTAAAATGTAACCTTTTTATACTTATAATAAATTTAAATCGTAGTAACCATATGAGCCAATTAGATAAAAATCTTACAGTAAAGAATAACAAACATTTGAAACCTCTTCTATGAAGATTATAACCAATCTGATTTAAAAGTTAATAGATAGATTCATAACGGCTAACCTAGATTAGTTAATGATTTTCCCAACTTTTTTCCTTCAAGTTTGTAAAGTGGGAGACAACAAAAAAAAAAAAAATAAATAACTGTGATACATGCCGTAGTGTTTAATATTTTTTTTGCTACATGAAAAAACAATGAATCATTCAAATCAATAATATGTTTATGCGGGTCTTTATTCATAAGTTACGAACAGACGCAACACTTTTCAAACGATTCAAATGTTTAGATGGCGGGTCTTTGTAAGCTTGTTCTCGTTTAAGTTTGTTTTGTTTATATTTGTAGCAAGCAGCTTCGGCGCATTTGCGCTCACATTAATTCATTTTCACGGTTTGACAATGATATTTAAATATTGAGTACATTTCTTCATCAGTTGTCAACATACTAAATGCCATACCGATTATAAACTGTTTGAATTCTGAACGATCAGCTAAGGCGCATTTACATTTGCAATAAGCTTTCTGGTATTCAGTCATAATTACAAATTTCAAAGAATTTTATTTATAAAGATGAGTTTTATTGTAACTACTTGAGCGCAAACAAAATTTAAAAGAGTAACATTTAGATTAATTGAAAACATATGATTATAATATTAAAGAGGCTTTTGTGATAACGTTATTATATTATACAACAATTGATAGAGGCAAGAGGCAATCTAAATATCAATGTGATATGGTTACTTTGTTAAAGTAATTAAATAATACAACAGTTGTTGTTAGGGACAACCTAGGTTGTACTATAACTATAACACAAAATCAATAAAATAATAATAATATCTTTACTTACTTTTGCCCATCCTAAAATCATTTCTATGTTAAAATAATAATAATATTTTTAAATTTTATAATATTATGAATAAAGAACATCTATATTACAAGAAATATATAGGTAATATATGGGCATATAATATCAGTGTATTCTGGATTCAGTACACCTCAAGTCCTGGGAAAGTCAGTATCGGTGCATCTAGCATTGAGAACAAATCCAACCTATGCTTGGATTATTTTGGTTTAAAAGTAAAAAATGTTTGAGCAAACATTAATATGAGTGCAAATTGATTTCAATTAATTACTATTTAACTAATTTATACAAAATTACGGTAATTAAATTGATTTTTCAAAAGACATATTAGTTAATCTATTTTTATAAGAAGGTAATATATCCCCAACTACCAAGGTTATGAGTTTAAATTTCACMATATGTTCTATAAAAATTACAGATAACATATTATTTTAAATATTTTTATTTTGTATATTTATGCTTCCAGTAGACATATCAAAATGTTGTTATGTTCAAAATTCTTAAGATAACTAAAATATTTAACAACTATATATAAATAACATATTATACATCTTTGGATCTATATATATATATTTATATAAAAATAAATTATTTTAGTTTTCATAATCAAGATAGAGCCGAACCTATAAGAATTATCAACTTGGAATTTTGAGAATAGGTTAATATTATAATTTCACTATAACTAATTCTTCAAAATTTGTATTTTAAGAGATTTAAAGTGTCAAAAATAAATTTTTAAGGGTAAATTGTACATCTATATACATATTCTGTGTTTATATTATAATACATTATTAACTATTAAATAATAATAGCAGTTGGATGAAAATGTTTGGTATATTTGTACCAGATAAATACGAATTACTATTTACAAATGTTATGTTATCTTATCCATAAATTATTTTAAGTATTTTTCATATTATTATCAGAGGTTAAGGTTTTTTTTTACCTAAATTTAACATTTAAAGGGAATTAAAAGGTAAACCCCTATTACCTAAAAATGAAAAACATTATTTCTTGGTCAGATTTTTATAAAACATAAAGCAACACCAAAACTCAAGCGGCTTATTAATTTAACATTTAAACCATAGTGAAGCTACAGGCATGTAAAAATAACAAATATGATAATAGAAATATTAAAATATGTTTAATTTTTTTACCCAATTATTTGAGCCTTGGGTATTTCAACAATATTTCAATGTAAGGGGTTGCCTGGGGTGGCCCAGCCACTCAAAATATTTACAGGCCATCCTGATGGCCACCCCATTACATTGAAATATTGTTGAAATACCCAAGGCTCAAATAATTGGGTAAAAAAATTAAACATATTTTAATATTTCTATTATCATATTTGTTATTTTTTCATAATTGTCTATCCGAACACTATGGGCAGATTACCAGATATCAGAATAGAAATCGTTCTTACATACTAGTAGTATTCGTCGTATAAACGGCGACAACAATTTATCTATATTTATTATTATTATAAAGTCGCAAGAACTAGCAGGTATTCCTATTCTAGTAAATTGGCATGACTTCTTAGTGGGTACCAGGATTATGTGAATTACTAAGAAGTAATAACTAATAACTATATGCTAGGTACTATACATACCTACTTATAATCTATAAATATAAATTTAATCGCCAAGGTCTAATCAACTATAGCAAATAATAATATAATATATGTGACATAGAGTATTTTAGTACAATTTATTTTATTACAACAGCAATCAGCAAATGAGGATACGGCCCGTATAATATTATTATTGACCAACAACCTTAAGCCCAACATTATAAATTTGATACAGAACTACTAAAATCAGAACTTAAAATAATACCAAACACAATAAACATGTACCAAAAAGAAAAGAAAAAAAAAATCACTAATTTGATGAATTTTGTTGATTTATTGGAATAGTATAAAATCGTTTTTAATGAAACATACAAGATGGTTATAATCTCAATTACAATTCCAGTATCAAGTGCAGGGTGCAAAAGGACTTTTTCTTGCCAAAGGAGACTTAAAACATATATGCGAAATAAAATGACGGATGAACGCCTATCAAATTTATCTGTGATGCGCATCGAAAAGAAGATAGCAAAATCTCTTGACTTGGAAGAAGTTGTAGATTAATTTGCAGTTAGGTAATCATAATAATCGAAAAATTATTTAAGTATAGACTATTTTTTTAAATTCYATTTATTTTAACATACATTTTATGCATATATTTATTATTCATATACATTATACATTATACATAAGGAGGTTTATATAATACCTATTAAGATAAAAATTATCTAATTTATYTGTTTTGGCCACTCAATAAAAATTTTGACCATAACTGTGCCACCCTAATTATTTAATCTTAGCTACGAGCTACGTGCCTGTGAAGCTAGGTATTAATAATTATATCTGTATACTAACACAAGTGAAACTACAGCGAAAATCTATAATGAATAAAACAAATAATGATAATGCCAGCTTGATAACTTAATATTAATATATATGAAATACTTTTTGAACAATATTATTTGAATTTTATTTTAACAGATTAAACAATATTTTATCCTACCAGATAAAAACAATACATACATTTTTTGTACTAAGATCCGCCAACAACATTCAGCTAGTACTGTTATATATATATATAAATTAATATGCCATACTCCTATTAGAGATAACCAAAATGTTTAACTTTCTAGATATTATGTTATGTAAATATGAGTTAAGAATTAAGAGCGATCATCAAAATCTGTTTTTTTATCATCGTCGGTTTTATCAAAAAAGTAAGTTCCTAATTTTTGGATTTTTTGAAGCTTTACATTTCAGAAACAATTTTTTTAGTATAATGGTTCCCACACACTGGCGCAGTAAAATGCAACTGAACACAAATTACCTTGGCGTTATCGTATAGAAAAATAAAAAAAATGATTATAGTGTGAAAAAGCCTTTACTTCTGATGTCAATAAGAGCAACAAGTTTTTCTAAAACTATTAGATTAAAAGACTTAAAACACATTTTGAAGAAAAAAAACAATTTATGATTATTAACTCTGCTGGCATGATTGATTCCCAGTTTCTAAATTGTAAGTGCCTACTTTAATACATACGACACAATAAACTATAGCTTCCATATACAATGACTATCTTTGTTTTCAATTTTTTTAGCCTGCCATCACGTTCTTGTTCTTCCTTGTGTCTTCCTTTATCACTTCAAGCCTATCATTACAACTCATCGTTACATTCTTGTTTTTCCCTAAATATTTAGGTATCACTTATTTTCAATCTTCTTTCTTTTCTCTATTATATTATTTTCATTTTCACTTCTTTTCTTCTAACTGAATAGTTAATAAATAAGTGTTTAGAGTTTAGATTGAATTAATGTTCGGTTCAATCGCAACCATTACTGACCGCTTACAGGTGGTTTGGTTTTATTGAACAACAAACAAATTTAAACAAATGAATTTGTTATTTGTTAATATGAATGTTCTTGGTAGTCGCACAACCTACACAACCTATTGCCATAATCATTTAAAATAAAAATGTGACCAGTAGAGCACAATATACAACAATAGGTAGGTAATAATAATGGACAATGAATTTGTTTGTTGTTCAATAAAACCAATCCTGTAAGCGGTCAGAAATGTACCAATAACTAACAGACAAGACACAACAGTGAACAGTCTATACTGATGTTTAGGGATATGAAAAAATTAAAAGTAAGTATTGGAACTAAACTGCCAATATTATGCTAATAGGTACCCTTATGATTCCAAGAATTATATTAAAATGATTATAAAGTATTAAACAAAATTTACCTGTATTAGTATTTCTTTTTTTCTTTAAATTGAACTGCACGTGAAAATTAATTTGAACAATCAATACAAATGATGTTTTTCAACGTTGTCGTTGGAATCTTAATACGAGGAACCGACTACCATGTGTTCATGCCACTACACAACAGATGAAAATAATAGGTAACCTCTCGGTGCAACACTAAGACGCAAAAAGATGAATACTCAATCAGCAATAATTGATTATTTGTGATAAAAAAATGTCAGTGGTTCTCAATGACAATCGCTAACTTCATGCTCTCTATTGCCAACTATCATACGCTATAAAATCAGTGTAACCTTATAGCTTATATGGTCGAAGAGTGTAACTACCTTATTATTGTACAAGTTTATTCTACCCACGAATTAAGATATACAGAATGCCGAACGAGACCTTTTAACAGGTGAAGACGAAAGTTTCAAAAAATCCTGTATAATGTATACCTAGTGCTTTTTTGTCGCAATGGCATTTAATGCACTAAAACAGTGCTACCATATTAAGGAAAACTTCTGTTGTACCCATTGTAATACTATTCAATTGTTGAGAAATATGTCTTATATGCGTTCTTAATATTTATTTAATAATATTAATATTTTACTTATGTGCACAAATTAATATATACCTATATTAAAATATATCTTAATTCGTGCTTATGTGTATTTAATCCTTAGTTGAGGATTTTGCTACTGTAACCATTTCAGCTTATCRACTGATAATAAAGTGACACAATTTTTGAGGTTATAAGAGTTCCTTAATTATCGAAGTGTTAACACAATTTTAAACAATAAGAACAAATAATAAAATCACGAATCATAAATTCATAAGCATAACTATGAAATTATGAAAATATAAATTTTTTTAATTACAAAACATTAGAAATTTAAATTAACATTCTTCGTAACATCTTTGTAACCTAACCTCAAAAAATGATTCTCATAGTCTATCTCTCTTGTAAATATTGAACTTTCTCTCTTCCCCCCCCCCAAAAAAAAACCGCAACCTTATACAATGTCGTTGCCAGGTAAATTGAGTAGGCGTCGGCTCCGCGATAACGAACAACCAGGGGTTCTCCATATTTGAATGTCAGCCGAGACATTTATCATAAACAAATTTATGAACTGCGGTGGGACGTGTGGTCGACGCACCCCGCAACGGCGCAACTATAGTTTACGATAGAAGCGCCGCCACATGCTCAATTTATCTGGCAACGACCATACGAAGCTAGTATAGGCTTGTCCTATTCACTGTTATAATATCTATGGTGTTGATATAAAATTATAGCTGTTGCCTGTCAGTGGGTAGAGGTATTTCATCCATTATTGCTGATATATTTCCAAGGGACCACCTGTTTGATGCTATTATTGCTGAGAAATTATTCTAATTTCTATTTGTATTTATAATAAAAGTACTCAAATCAAACTCAGTGTTGAAGCTACGATTAAACAATGAAACCTGTACGTGTGTAATGTCAGTTAGTGTTAAATGTTAATGTTACAGTTAAAAGTAATATGTAGGCTAAGTAAAAAAGTGATAGGCCCAACTCCGGTAGGTGCTCAAACAGACATTTTGAAATTTAAGATGGAAATTTTTGTTTATTTATCTATCCTTAAGTATAAAAATATACTGCTAGCATAATCACAAGTAACGATTTTAACACACAGCTAGTTTGAAACATATAAGAAGTAGGATTTTTAACAGAGTACGAAGYCTGTAAAAATTAATCTTGTTTTAGTCTGTAAGAATAATTATCACATTTTAATGGTGTTTTGAATGAAATTTTATGTTATACCACAGGTGCGTCATTTGGTGTGTGTATGTTTGGTGGGAGGGGGGTTGCAGGGGTGCAGGGTGTACATTTGCACCAACTTTTTTAAAAACACCTTCTTTGGCCTGTCAGCAATAAATACATTCGCCGATACATCTAATTATTTTACACTATACAGGGTGTCCCACAGAGATCTGGCATTCTGACAAATGAAATAACTTTTGTTCTAATCAATATTTTTTAAAAATTTCTTTTAAATATAATCCATAGACACTTGCGCTACATTTTTTATTTTTTATTTTTTA